TCGGTAAACAAATAAGGAATACTGTTCTGAGAAAACATCTGTATCCGATATGAAATGCAAAAAAAACAAAAAAATCAAACTAAACAGAAATCTCATGTATGGATGGGACACCTCTGTGATAATTAGCCTATACTAGGTGCAGCCAGCATAGTATATAGTACCCTTGCCTCGTCCCCGACCCCTGCCACGTCCGCGTTGACCGGTGGTATTGGGGCAATGCTTGACCCAATGCCCAGAACGGCCACATCCAAAGCACTCACTGCTGCTCATCTCCATTACCTAAACAAAGAAACAAACAAAAACACAATACACACTTATATATAAAATAAAAAAGTGCATTTACCACCTCATCGCCAACGCTGCGCCCATTTTGGCTGCGTTTTCCAGCCGTCTACCTCACCAAGGCTCTCACACCAAACACACAAAGGAAGACAGTTCTCTCCAAAAGGGGAATGTGGATGTTATCTTGGCATGCACCACCCTGATTTTCCACAAGGTTTAGTCATAACTAAACCCAGCTTTGACCCTCTAAACAGGCCAAATTCTGTGAAGCACGTGCACGGACAGAGGTATTTTAATCTGTGCCAAATTAGAGTGCTTCGAAAAATTTCCAATTGTGCTGATCCCAGTGACGTACGTATAATCACACCTGTTGCTGTAAATTATTGATAGGATATGGACACCAGCTTTTTTTTATTTTCTCCATTCTGGATTGGATAAAGTTTACTGGGCGCTCTTGTGGCAATTAAGCTGCTTAGTATGATGTTAAAACCTTAAAGCATTCATTTAACATAATACTTGTCACTGATGGCTAAATCTGTCTGAACTACTTAATTTTAACGTGCTGTAGCTCCACATGCATATTACATTAAGACACAATTGGTGTAGCAGTCTGCTGATGACTGATTTTTATTTTCTCCCCTACATTTTATGGATGCAGGTGTTTACACCAGTCATCATGGATATAAATACCACATGCTTCTGCAGAGTGGCCAAAACTCCAATCCTCTTTTGTGCACAGTTTTGGAAATTCCTGAAGATTGCAATGATTTTAACATGTGTGGGTCAAACAACATCACGGCACAACTCACACACCCGTATGGTCAAGGCTAGCATTGTGACTACCACGGGGATCTAATCTACGGTCAAACAGAAGGAGGGGGGGGGACGACATTTTTTCTGCAGCAGAATCTATCATAACTGGCCATCAGACTACAATTTACTACAAAGCTAACTTACACGACTTCATCAGTGGGATCATGCTGTGATCGCCATAGGTCAAACTTCTGTTTGCTGACAGCGCTGAAGACATCAAGTCAGGAAGAATGTGAGTTAATGAGTAATCAAATTGCTCGCAGTAAATAGCCAAAAAAAGACGACGTGGGAGAACAAAAACGAGGCGGCTGCATTTAAATGGCCTTGTATAGACATGATGGCAAAGTGTTGCTATTTATTCCTATAATGGTCAACGCCGGGCCTCAGTTTACAGCATGGGTCACATACCAGATTTGAACCATTTACTTTATTGTTTCTTTGAATGGGGGCTAGTTCAGTCTAAATTGATCCGGAGAAGTGAGTCCAGTTAACGCTGCACGCCGCTGACTACCACAGAAATGACCATGACAGCATGCCGTGGATTGTATGCTAACTAGGGAAGCTAGCTTCAGAGGGCAGCACGTCGCATCGTGTTATGTTGATTAACCATCTGCAAACAAACAATGCAGGGGTCTAGCCTACAATAACCTGACTCCTCGTGTTTTAAAAGGCACAAACAGGCCGGCTATATCAAGTACGTGGAGCAGACTATGTGATTCCGGAGTATTCCAGCGCCCGCAAAAACAGAAATCAAATGCCAAAGGTTGCAGCTACGCTAACGTTGGCCTAGTCACGTTGATTTTTCTGCGCACTCGCGAGACGCCAGTGCTGCTGGCTAGCACATGCTAGCTCACCACCGCACCGCCACGACCAAGAAGCACGGTTCAGTCGACGATCAATCCCGTTCCTCCAGTAAGAAAGTGTCGATCCGGCACGTATAGCGATAAATGTTTGCAACAGACGGTTTTTGACGGGCATTCGAGTGATTTTACCATAAGAACAAAATTTCCCGCGCAGGGCGCACACACCAAAGTCGTTGTGACGAGCTAGCGTTAGCAGGCCGGACCGAGAACCAGATGCTCCGTTATTAAGAGCGAATCAAATCAAACCCTTGCGTGGTCACGGAAAAAAACAAGATCAAACGCTTAATTTTTCGTTATAACCACTTTCAACGCGACAGAGTTTCAAAGTTAGTAGATATACAACATCTACTGGTTAAATGAATTTTAATGCCGTTTTATTGCTTACCTTGATGGCTACCTAGCTATGTCAGTGTTTACGCCTCCTTCTTTGCGCTACATGCGGTGTGAGCAGGAGTTCCTGAATTGTCATTCACAGTATCCAGTAGAAACCTGCGCAGTCATTGGCCACATACTCTGCAAACAACCAGTCAGACGAGAGGATATCTGGACACCGCCTCTACGAATTAGCCAATCACGGATGCGGAATCGTCCCTTTTCCCTTAATCGACTAACCTCACTTTACCCAGTTCATTTTTATTAACATTTAAAATCTTCTTAAAATGAAAAACAATGTAGAATTTTGCAGCAGAAACAAACCTAAATTACAATTGGCACTACTTCTGCTAGCCCTACAATTAAACATAATGCTATTGTTGGTAATAATTCAGACAATATTTTCCTATAATTAACAACATGGTCTGTATGCTGTATGGAAAGGCCACAAGATAGATAAAGTAATAAAATGCACACTATTCTTTACATTTTAACTGAAAACCTTGTTAGGTAGCCTCATTTTATTCATGCAAAATAAGTTGATGTAAATCTACATACTAAGGTATATTGTCTGTGAGCAATTTCAAGAGGCTGCTCACAGAATATGTGCTGAGGCTGTATAGTGACCTCTCTGATCTCCTTCCACTTTAGCTAATGTTCTAAATACATGCACAGTTTTATTCAAACCAAAAACAGAAAGTAAGACGGATCCCAGAAGCAACTATGTTTACACAATCAGCGCAATAGCCTGTATAGAGATCTGTATCTGGTTTTGGTTGCGATGGATGAAAATGTTTATTTAGATTTCAAGTCAAAAGGAAATTTGTAGTATTATTTTTTTTTTTAATGACTAAACTATATCAGAAAGCTTTGAATCAGAGCAATCAAGCAACATCAGAATTAATAGTTTTGAGTTATTAGGCCAGAACCACTGACAGTTATGTGAATACTGTGCTAAAACAAAATAAATCTTAAAAAGTAAACCTAAAAACTCCAAAGTATTTTTCCCCCACTTTTCCCCGCACTTGAAATGATAACCTATAGGATATAAATTACTGTAGATATTTTCTGTAAAGAATACCCCACAATTTAATGAAAACCACCCAAAAACTTTTAAGGATCTGACATTCAAATGCCAATGCAAATAGGCCTAAAATATTGCCTGATCATAACAAACATACACTGGTGGGTGTGTGTATTTCAAACAGCTGATTATGTGAACTTATCACAGTACAACATCTACTGCTTAATGAGTCCTGGCTGCATCACATTTTGAATACATGATGACTGATAGAGACACAATCCATGGAAGCTGCAAGCATCTCAGCTAACCGGCCTGAGTGCTCTGTCAGATCAATAAGTGGGAAAGATGCATTCATTTCAGTCTTAAGGTGGTTTTGGTCGAAAAGCTCTGAGATAGCAATTTCTACTTTCTGCGCACTTCCTTTTGAAGCCCACAACCTTTAATGCAAAGCAGATAAAAATATAATCACCTGCGCTCCATAGTTCTGAAATGATTAAGAGATGTATAACTATATTATCCCACGCTGTCTGAAACACATTAGTACAGTTGTGTGTAGGGTGGGGTACCTTAAAACGCTCCACAATGACAAAGCCCTGCCCTCATCTTCACAGAAACAGTATTTGGTGTTTCTGTTACTTGTTAGATTGAATATCTGTCAGAAAATGCCACAATCAGGACAGCAGACTAAACTGTAAATTCAGAGATGTAAACAAAAGGTAGAATGTGCTGTTAGAGAAGAATAGCATGGCTTTGTGATTTTTTTTTGCTGTCCAGCTAAAATTTCCTGCTGCTGCTTTATGGAAACAATGTAAGCTGAACACCATCCGGGATGTTGATAAGGCTGTTTTATTCTCAGATGGTGTCAACTCCAGTGTGCTGAAAAGGACCTATGAGCCATCTGTGATTAGGGTACCTCAGGGGACCCACACCGGGGATGCTACGGAGATGGTGAACACATGGTGAGTGTGGAGGGTTTGGTTTCACAGTGAGAATGAACTGTAGTCTTGATGCTGTGGGGAAAAAACACATCAAAATCCACCGTAAATGAGAAAATGATGCTTTTCCTACAACAAAAAATATAGGTGGGATTTATTTGTAGGTATAACCCACACGCCTAACTGCAAGTTCTTGTGTTTTTGGTCAGATATGTAAAATAAACAGCTGAAAAGCTTTTATTTTTTTTAATTGTCATTCTGTAATTTCCAACATTTCCTACAATGAACATTGCAGTGTCTCCTTATCTCCAGATGATGGTGCACTTGGAGTTAACATGGATTTGCTTCAAACCGGTAGTGGACAGATTTTTTTTTTTTTTTTTTTTAGTTTTCAAAAGATACAGTTGCAATTACTGTTTTCATAAAAGTGCATTTTAAAACTATAATATTGTTGAACATGCAGTTACCTTTGGGAAATCATTGCAAGTAGGAGTCCACTGGACTGCAATTTAGACTACAGAAAAGGACTTTAAAGTATATGTTAGACATGATCATATAAGGAATTTGACATTTCAAAATAATCAGATGTGGATTTTGTTATTTCTTTATTTTTATTTTTTACCAGTAAAAACATCAGTATCGCAGAAGTGGGAGGGCTTAGGTTTGTGCTATAGTTGCGCAGTGTGAGTGATGCTTGCAACTCTTGTTATGACTGTAAGGTCCTGTTTCAATCACTGGCGTCAGACGGACGCACGACACCGACTCAAACCGCTTCACCTTCTCCCGAACAACGTAAATATTGATTTGAAAAGCGAAGCGAACAAGTCGTGGGAGTTTTTCCTGTGAAAGCGCTTCGCTGGACCTTTCAGAATATCGCTCTTCGTGTCACTTTGAGGGTCCGACGGGATTTTTCTCCCCCTTTTTTTCCCTTTCCTCGCATTCACCGCGACTGGGAGATAAAAACTTTTTTCTTCTCTTATTTTTAGGCGCTTCGTTGGAAAAAACAAACCAGCCTGTGACCTTCACGTCTTTACATCGATGCCAGTTTTTTATTTTATTATTTTACAGGAGACGACATTTTTCGACACACTTTCTGGACTTTTCTCTCGCTTTGACTTTTTCCTCTTTTCTTTGAACGCGTTGCAAATATGATGATGTCACCGACGCCACTTTTTCCTGAAGTTATGGCGGAGCACAACTTTTTTAACTTCTCTTGGTGAGCATGTACGAGCTACTGGCGCTTAGCATTGCCTCTGTTCGACTTGTGTTAGAAGTGGAAACTGGTATTGTTTAACCCGCTTGAGACCGAGTAAATGCGGGCGTTTCAACAAGTGAAAATTGAATGGAGGGCGAAAGGGAGCCGTGCGGTGAAGTTTAACGATATAGTCCGCCTCACTGGGCCTTCGGGGCAATTTCACTGTTATAACTGGATCTTACGAGGCCTTACGAAAACACACGTAGCTAACATTAGCTTATGTAGTTGTGCAAACTTCTGTATGTACTTCAGTCGTTGTCGTACTACTCTTTTATTTACTTATTTATTTTTAGTAATACGTTTAATGGCTGCTCCAGTGAAAGCGGTCAATAACTCAGTTTAGTGGCCTTCTCTTCCTAACCCTCCCAGATAACACTAACCTGCTGCTGCTGCTGACATTGATCTCACCTACATTTATGACTTTGAAGGCTTCACAGGAGCCTTTATGTGGATGCAAAACTGCTATTAACTTGTGTTATTTGGACTGACCTGTGCAGATCTAAGCAGAGTAAAGTCGTAATTATTCCAGACTTACCATATTTTCTGTTGGTGCCCTTTTCTGGATGGATCACAGCACTTGTTTTGAACACAGTTCCAGCAGCATGGTGGGGAGCAGGGTGAAGGACTCCACAGATCTCAAAGTTCCTGCTTTTCCCTACTTCTGTGCAAACCGGTTTATGTTTGCTGTGACAGTGAACCACCAGTTGCACTAAATCGTCCCTGCACTGTGTAACAGATCTCTGCACCAGACACATCAGAGATAAGTGGGGAGTTTTTGCAGCGTGAATGTGTACGTGCCCAAATGTGAAGACCGGTAATCAGTGAAAACCTTCTGTTGTGTATGTATGGCCACACAGTTTGTAGTGGAAACAAAGCAGGAGAGGGACCATGTTTTGTTTGTGATGGCTTCGTCCAAGTTGAGTTAAAACAGCTAAAGAGATTTCTTCACAATGCAAAGTTATATTTTCTTACTTTTCTTGTGTTTTCAAGTTATTCTTACCTTCTACTCGAATAAAAATACTGTGATTCTTTGCTGCAAGTTCTGAAGTGGTGAGCTTTAGTGGTCTGACCATACAGACAAAGGATTCTGTTGAAAGCATACACTCCAAATAACACGTCTGACCTCTGTGGTGGCCTGAGATTCTTCAGGTTTGAGTGGATTAGTTTGTCTACATTGCTCTGCTGCTCACTTTAAAAAGGAACCTTACGTGTGGTATTCTGTAAAATACTGGCCGAGTTTGATATAGGGTAGGACCACTGAACAGGTCAGTAAGAAAATCTTCTTTACTGTTCATGTTGTAGGCCTTGCTGCTTACCACAATGGTCCTAATCAAGCCATAATCCAAGAGGGTTGCCCCTGTTAAGATTATTTTTAGATATTACATCAAACAAGTTGCTGTAACCCAAATCTGTCTTTGTTTTGCTGCTGTTTTTCCTGCTGTGAAAGCTCATCACTCTTAGAAACCAATTGTAGCTGACACGCACTCAGGCCAATTATAGCTGCTTTTCTAGTGTTAAAAACGTCACCTTTTAAAACTCCATGCCTCAGTGTTTGATAATTAGGGTAGAGAAAAGCAATTTAAACAGTTACATGCCCTCAAAAAGAACGATGCACAAGTGCACATAATGAAAAACTTCTACATCCTACTTCTTTTCGCAGGCTTAGTCGTCTACACTGTGACATCAGTATCTTTACAAAGTTGTACAAGCACTAATGTAATACTGACTTTGACACATTTTTTTCAGACCATTGCGAGCACTTGGCTTTTCTAATGGAGCACCTTCAGGGAGCGTGGAAGACCCTGAGTAACGGCTTCGGAATGAAGGACTCTGCGTTTGAGAGCCCCTGCCTTTCCCCAACCATGGTCCAGGGCTTTCCCTGCCAGCGTCGCTCCTCCGATGACAGCAAGATGCCCGACTCCAAGGCTAGCAGCACTATCCGCGTCTACCTCCCAAACCAGCAACGCACTGTGGTGAGTTTATTTATGCTGGAGACGGAAGATGACACGCTGGTAACTCTGTGAATTTTGCTACCTTGCAGCTCCAGACTTCAAATATGGCCTCAGAAATACACCATCGGGACAAAGTTCTTTAAAGACACTTGGAGCTGCTTACATCCTGTGTTTTGTTTTTTTTTGTCCTTATTTTTGTCTTTAAGGTAAACGTGCGACCAGGTATGACTCTACAGAACTGCCTGTTTAAAGCATTGAAGGTGCGAGGTCTGCAGCCTCAGTGCTGTGCTGTCTTCAGGCTTCATCCAGGACAGAGGAGGTGAGCTCAGGATTGTTTGGCATGGTGTAACCAGAGTTAATGAAATCACAGCTTTTAAAGATCACGTATGTGCCTGCTGTTGATATTTTTCTAAGCTTTCTGTTTTTTGTTTTTTTTGTTTCCTTTTAAATAAGTAAAAAATTACGGATGGATTGGAATACTGACTCGACCTCACTGATCGGGGAAGAGCTGCAGGTGGAGGTTTTAGATCACGTTCCTTTGACGACACATAATTTTGTGAGTATCTTAAGCATTTACAAGATCCTCAAAGCTCAAAAAGGAAAAATCCCTGAAGTAATAAATACATATTGTTTTCTGTCATTTTCAGGTTCGGAAAACATATCTGAAACTAGCGTTCTGTGATATTTGCCAGAAGTTTCTTTTGAATGGTTTCCGTTGCCAAACGTGTGGCTACAAATTCCATGAGCATTGTAGCACCAAAGTGCCCACGATGTGTGTGGACTGGAACAATATCAGACAACTCCTGTAAGTTTGTACAATGTAAATAAAAGGCCATGAATAGCTTGTCAGTGCATTCGTTAAACAATGTTTTCTCTTTGTAATTGCATCAAGAATGATTATGGAAATATAACTGATAGGCATATTTGCCGACTTCAACACATTATCTGCATAGAAGCTTAGAATTTAATTAAAAAAGATAAAAATTGGAAGTAGAAATCATAGTGCTGCCAAGATATGAAAGAAAAGCACGCTCTACAAGATACTACAGTTCCTCTGATTATATCTAAGTGCAAATACGTCACTTTGCATGCTTGAACTCAGAAGAGAGGATTATTAGTTGTATTTGCATGCAGGCTGCAGCACTGATGGTAATCATTGAAAGATCCATATCAGTCACGTTGAACAAACAAGGCTCCTTTACCTGACAACCACAGTGGTCTATAGCACTCAGCCGTTATAGCACCAAAACTTTTCCAGGAACGCTTTACAATGAGTTAGTCAGACTCCATTTCTTTCTTCAGGTTGTGTCCAACACCCGGTGAGAGTGGTGCCCCGTCCCTGCCACCGCTGACGTCCCGGCGTATGAGAGAATCCTTAACGCGGTTTCCAAGGTGAGTTTTTGTCCTCAGTCTATCCATACATATCCTTTTTGTTTTTTTGAATTATTATTTCATTTAGATTCAAAGGCAAATTCAAGCTTTTTGGACATCACAAAGTCATTCTGTAGTTTTGCTACTGTGGCAATGATAGAGGAGGAAACGGTTTCACTGAACTGAGCCCTCCTTTTTTTTGTGACCAAAGGAAAAAGTGTTTTTTTCTTTTTCTTTAAAGGTGCTCTGTAGAGCTTTCTTGTAAACCACCAGAAGTTGCTGTTTACATTCAGTGTGTATCCTTGAGCTCCAATAAATGTGTTTAAATGCATTTTTCTTCCTCATAAAATGTTTGCAAAGCTCGTTTTTAAAAGTCATTTAAATCTTGTATTGTTTACATCCATGGTTACCTGGTAATAATCTTCCCCTTTTCCTGTCTTTATTACCGAATTGCTGCATATTTTGGCGTGTTACCGCCACATGTAGATCACCTAAATAGCAGTAAACTATTGGCAGGCATGTGCATCGTGTAAACCTCCGTGTCCTTACGTGTCCTTGTGCGTGTAAATGAGCTAAACAGAACTGGGGCTTGGAAAAACAGCTTTGCAGCACTAAAAGTCAACAAAATCCATGTAGAACCTTTAATGCAAAGAGTGTGCAGTCTGTGATTATAGTGATTATGAATGAATGCCCATATTTTGTTGGAAAGTAATCCTTTTGTCCAGAGTAATGCTTATGAACTACTTTATTGTATCACTCACTCTTCTTCAGTGTAGTTATGGTTGGATAGAGCTAATGATCAAGGTGCTCCTTGGTCTACAAACTGATGGCAAACTAAAAGAACCATGCAATACTTGAATTAATATGCTGGATGAGGGCTCTGCAAATAGGGGTTGAGATGTTTAAGTACTAAAAAAACCATTGTCATTTTGTATTATTTGTTATGCTTGACTGCAATGCAATTGTTATGTTGTAATTTCGTAAGAACCCTAATCGTAATTGAATTAAATCCTGTTTTTAATGACGGCCCTAGCTTAAGGGGGGGTTTACCAGGCCAAGAGCTGATGTAACGAGGTGTAAAAAGAGTCTGTTGTTTCAGTGGCACTTAAAATGGTTAAAAAGTACTCTAGGCTGCCAAATTAGCACTCACAAAGTATCAAGTTGCTCCATGTAAACCATTCTCAAATACTCTTTCGAAACATAGTTTTGCGTTGCCAAAAGGGGGGATTGTTGTTAAGGAGTGGACTCTGTGTTTGTAAGTGTGATATAACATGATCTCTGTTTATATATGTCATTCATCTGGGGTTACCACTGTCCCCGTTTTAACTAGCACCTGCAGTAGAGCACGGTCAGTGCAGCAACAGGAGGTGCACAAAGAAGGTTTAATGAGTTCAAAGCTGCAAGTTTTGTTCAGGCACAATTCATGTATGTTACTTTGTTAATGTTTTAACTTGGTAAAATTCAGATGTTGGTCTTGCAAGCAAACGTCTCAAGTCAGACCAGCGTTTGGATTATTTGGAGATTAACATATTTGGCTGTTGAGCTTTGTACTCTTCAACTGAGCCAACACTGATCTTGGCAAACATCAAGGGCAAAATACCTCTACACTGTCAAGTTAGCCAAAAATGGCACTAAGGGACGGCCACAATAAAATGAACCAATAACTACTTCCCCACAAGGCTATTTTTCAGTTTTACTTTGTTTTTGTTGTTGCTGTACTGTTTTGGTTAAACAGTGAAGCATACTTCATATTGACAGTGTGTGTGTGCTAGCAGGCTGTTGAGGGGACATGTTACACAAAAAAAAAAAAAAAAAAAGCTTGAATAGTGAAAGTGAGAGAAAATGACAGGAATGAAACCAGAGAGCCCCTGCACCAACTATCACCACACCCACAGTGGCTAAATTTTTAAAAAGTTACAGAACTCAGGGTTTCTGTCTGTTAAATGTTAGTGGTTTGTGCCATTCTAAAGCATCAAACAGCGCAATCTTAATATCTGGTTCTTGTTCGCCCTCACAGCTCAGCCCACCGATATTCCACCCCTCATGCCTTCAACTACACCACACCCTACCCACCCACAGGCGGCGGTCTCTCCCAGAGGCAGCGCTCCACTTCCACACCCAACGTCCACATGGTTAGCACCACCCTGCATGTAGACAGCAGCATGATCGAGGTAACTACACACCATATGGGCCCCTTGGGTACTCCTGTAGGTTCAGGCAACCACTCCTAAAATATCTCATGCCTGAGAGTGTTGTTGCCCTCCTACGTACATCTCAGACATTCCAACTATCTTCGTCTTGCTTTTTACCTCTGTGTTAAGTAATCCACCTAGGTAGGGCTGAGTTGTTTTTTTTCTTTTGAATTCCCCTGATTGTATCTTATTTTAGAAAGTTGTAATATGTGTGACATTTGACTTCCTCTGTTCAGTTCTACTTTCTGCTTTTTCGCTGTCACTGTTCTTGCACAATCAACTCGCTAGTTTTTCCTGCTTCGTAGACTATTTCCCCTATATTTTGTCCAGGTACAAACCTGGGCTCACTTTTGTCATTGTTGCTTCCTCACTTTCCTTTACTCTGTCCCTTTCCCTCCTGTATCCTCACTGGCCTGTTGTATTGTACCCTACTGGGGAGTAGCTAGACTGCCTGAATACCTCCCCCAGCTCCTGGTGCCATAGATTCTGGCTGAAGAGGAAAGTAGGTATTGTGCACTTCTCCCAGTCTTTTGTTGAGGCCTCACCTGAGATTCCAGAAAAGGTTAGAAAGCGGAGTGTCTGTGTGCAGTCTGAGTGGCATGTCTTGCAAACAGGCTATCTGCATTTATATCAGTCAAACCATGAGTGACAGCACAGCATGCGGTTTAGGATTTGAACAAGCTAACCAGACTCTGTCTCTGTTTTATCTCTTTAGGATGCAATGCGTGATCATGACTCCGGTAAGTGCTTGCTCTGCATTTCATTGGCTTTATGTTATATACTTTAAGGAAGCATCACGCCTCCTCCTTCACCGTCAACACAAATTTTCCATTGATCTACAACACAAATTCAGATCTTTTTTCACTGACTGTCTGACTGTCAAGTCATCTGCCTTTACAATCTAAAGTTCTCAGTGCAGAATCTGACATCAGGGTCCTTGTTACATTATATAGGAATTTTTTAAAAAGCTCAGCAATTGAGAATAGGAATGCAAGACTGAACTGGATGAGATAGGCCTTTGCACACCTTTTGTCATCAATCCATATATTTTTCATTTTACTGACGACTTTTGTTCATCTTCATATATGACATGCTATTTGACGGGGAATTAGAAATGAAAGAATTCTCAATGGGACATTTGGGTTTAAATCAAAGGCTGTCCCTAAATGTATGATGTGCATCATATGTATAGTGTGTTTGCCATTTTGTATCTATATCTATAGCTGTCTAGCTATAGTTCTGCATTGCGTAGAAAAAATGGCATAGAAAAACTTCTATGACATCCGTGTAAAAGGAATATCCTGAGTAGTTAGTTGTAATTTTGAATATGTGAAGTGTGTACTCAAAGATGCGGACACAGCCTTCCATCCGTAATTCCTTTGTTCTCTTTCGATTTGTATCCCTAAAGCGGGTAGTTCCCCCAACCAGAGCCCTACTGGCTGGTCCCAGTCCCAATCCAAAGTCCCTGCACCTGCCCAGCGAGAGAGGGCCCCATCCTTCAACACTCAGGAGAAAAATAAAATTGTAAGTTGTGTGTTTTGACATGTATAGTGTGTACACAGTAAATAATTGGTGCAGTCTGTCTTTCAGTAAGGCGCCTTTTGATACCACCTTATGTTTATGTTGTGTGTCATCAGTTGCATCTTTTTGATTTGTGTTAATCCAGAGGCCTCGGGACAAGCGGGACTCTAGTTACTACTGGGAGATCGAGGCCAGTGAGGTTTATCTGCACTCCCGCATTGGCTCAGGCTCCTTTGGAACTGTATACAAAGGAAAATGGCATGGTAGGAATGCATTACAGACGGGGCAGGGCACCGTCAGGTTCACCACTTTCACATTTTCACACCACACTCCACATTTTAAAGTGAGTTAGCCAACAAACAAAGGCTTTTCATATGAGCTTTGTAGATTTTTTAATACATTGATTATTTTTGTAATAGGTGATGTAGCAGTGAAGATTTTAAAGGTTACTGACCCTACACCGGAGCAGTTCCAAGCATTCAGGAATGAAGTGGCCGTCCTGAGGTAAGAAATTACCAGAACACTGTGTTGTTGTTGTTGTTGTTGTTGTTGTTTTGCTGTCTTACTTTTCAGCTGTTTCTAAAGTTGCAAACTTGGTGAATCATCTTCATTGCTAACTTCTATCTTATCTTTGGTATGGTGATTTCCTCTTCCCCTCTGCTTCTGGTCGCAGGAAAACACGACATGTCAACATCCTGTTGTTTATGGGCTACATGACGAAGGACAACCTGGCCATTGTGACCCAGTGGTGTGAGGGTAGCAGCCTCTACAAACACATTCATGTCCTGGAGACAAACTTCAAGATGATCCAGCTCATAGACATTGCTAGGCAGACAGCTCAGGGCATGGAGTAAGTCGCAGAGAATCAGCTGCTCCGATAAATCAAAGTAAATATCACTGACGCATCATCTAACTTTTTTTTCTTCATTTCTAGCTATCTGCATGCAAAGAACATCATTCATCGTGACATGAAGTCCAACAGTATCCTCTCTGTTTGTTTTTCAGTGTGCGCTCCAGTAAGATAAAAGCATGTAATGAACTGTAATCCCCAAGCTGTGCAGCATCTGTCTTTCCTACACGTGTTTTTAGCTGTGATTCCTTGACACCAGCGCAGACATTTTCTTGCATGAAGGGCTAACGGTGAAAATTGGAGACTTTGGTCTGGCTACGGTGAAGGCCAGGTGGAGCGGCTCACATCAGGTGGAGCAACCATCTGGATCCATTCTTTGGATGGTCAGTGACACAGTTTAAACCCGTTAACAGCAGCACTCTAGGGCTGGGTCCGTCTTTATGAATTTAAAAAATAGATATATGTGTTAAGGGGTTTGAGACACTAAGCAGAACTGTAATTAAAAATTGTTCACCATTATGCTTGTTTTTTGGGGTTTTTGACAGGCTCCTGAGGTTATCCGGATGCAGGATAACAACCCCTACAGCTTCCAGTCTGATGTCTATTCCTATGGAATTGTTCTCTTTGAGCTCATGACGGGAGAGCTCCCTTACTCCCAGATAGCCAACAGAGATCAGGTAAAGTCATTTACTCATATCATACTGTATGCCAGGCAGCAGTAGTTTAGCACTACAGCGAGGCATGTAGGTGACATTGCTATGATGAGTCTCTGCCATTTTGTCTTCCACACACACACCCGTTAATTGTAATTGTCTAGCACATTGATTGTGCTTGACAACTGTTAACTTCAGGCTTGCAATTTGTTGCCACCTTGTTAAATTTGATTATGTCAAACAGAGTTGTAACTCCACAGTCAGTCATGTGTCTAAGCTGTAGTCTGTGCCTGGGTTTCAATGTCAGGCTGTGAACCCAGGCCAGAAGGTGGTGGAAAGACACTGTGCCGCTGTCTGAAGGGGGTTGTGGTGCTGGCCTTAGGCCCACCACGGAACAGAGGCAGGCGCCGTGGAGCCACTGGCCTAATTTTAGACCCCGTAACACAACCCTGTATGTGTGTGAGAAAACGGGCGCATGGGTATGTGTGTCTGTAATTTTTTGACCTGTCATCGGCCACGAGACGTGGCGTGGATCATATCTGCCTCTTTACCCATTTCGGTTAACTGTCTTAGTTCAAATTAGACTAAGACTCTCTACAAAGTATGACCATAATTCGTGTAATGATCCACTGTTGTACCTTATTCTCCTTGATACTGTAGAATGACTTTGTACTCAGCTGATCTGGCAAGCACATAGAGTACTCCTATCATCCTTTATCTCTGCAGGATCATGCACTCATGCTTTCACAATAGCTCCAGTGTTTTAAATGTCTGTCACCTTAGACTCACTGGCCATGCTTCTAAAGTATCTGCGAGATGGACTGCTGATGTAGGATTGATCAAGTGTCTCATACAGCTGCACTGGCTTCCATCTGTAGTTCAAATATTGTTTTTAAATGTGATCACTGCTCTTCTAAGTCTCCTCTGCTCTTTGTTACTCCCCTCCATCAGATTATTTTCATGGTGGGAAGAGGCTATCTGTCCCCAGACCTCAGTAAGCTCTACAAGAACTGCCCTAAAGCCATGAAAAGATTGGTGGCTGACTGCATCAAGAAGTCCAAGGACGAGAGGCCGCTCTTTCCACAGGTGAACTATACTCTTGGTAACTGTAGACATCAAGCTGTCTCGTTTGTTAAACTCATCTTAACTTTTCTCCTCTTTCATGAATTTTTAGATCTTGTCGTCCATTGAGCTTCTCCAGCATGCCCTCCCTAAGATAAACCGCAGTGCCTCAGAACCGTCCCTGCACAGAGCCTCTCACACAGAGGACATCAATGCCTGTACTCTGACCTCCACCAGACTGCCTGTTTTTTAGAGGCTCAGACAGTTCTGTCCCTCCTCCTCTTCGTACACTTACCCTCCTCAAAATGTACAACTTAGCCCAAACGTTCAGTATGCCCAAATTCTCTTCGTAAAGATGCTACTATAGACCAACAGATGTACATGCAATCATACATAAACCCATGTTAATCAATACAATATGCAAGTAAATGAGGAGAGAGGGGGAAGTGCACAGAGAAGTGTGTCTGAGATTAACTTTGGAAGCGACTGAGTGATGATGGATTGTAGTCGGATGTACATATGAAGCGGTTAGCATAAGATACATCAAGGGGATACCTTGCTTCATGTCGGCATTGTATTTGGTATAAGTTGTAAATATATGCACGCACACCTACCTAAGACAACGATGAATGGACATTGAAGGAAGCTCAAGAGAAAAACAGATGCGTCTCTTGATTTGGGTTCTGTGATGTGAAGCACGCCCTTCTGTGAGGCCGCCCTGCGTTCTGAGGAAGAGGACTTTTTACGCTTACCTGCCTTAAGAGGAAACAAAGCCTGGACTAAGATCCTGCACAACTTCACCTCCTCTTATCACAAAGCCGTTGGATGTAGTCCATTTAGTTGCACAGTAGTAGTTGATTTTTGCATTGTCTTAAATGGGGTAGACATGGGAGATATTTTTTGTCTTTTTGTTGTTGTTGTTGTTGACTTCTTTTGTCTTTATTTTTGGGCCATTTTGGATGAATTATAGCCTGTCAGACAGTGAGCATGAGTGATGATGGAAATCTGCACATTTTTGAGTAAAAGCAACGGTTATGTTTCAACAGTGTACTCGGTGGTTTCACAGCTCTGAGCGAACCGATCTGTAGATCCCCACACATCCTTACCAGTCCTCACCATCGGTAGATTATCATGAGCTGGACATTCGGCAGTCGTCTTAAATATTTAAAATGATTGGGAAACTAATTTGTATTTGTTTATCATGTCACTTTCAGGAGGTTAAACGTTTTATTGTGAACTTGGTGAGAAAGTTGTCTATTCAATATTTTAATAAAATTAAGTTAAATTTCTTTGCCAAATCAAAATGTATGGATCATCTTTCTTCTTGTTGTGGAAATTTATTGATTAGTCAGCATACTGATGATGTGGATCACTTGAACTTTATCTTAAGTGCAGTGATGGAAGCAGGTAATTTGGGTAGTTGGCATCACATTTTACTGCCTCTCTTCTGGTTCACTAACGGTAAAATCCCACACATGTGCAAGACTTTGTGGCAGGGTGTAATGTTTGCTGTAACAGTGGCAACGTGGTGTAACCTCACAGGGGATCCAGTCCAGACATGCCACCAAGGGATTCCACCATTGGCTGATGCCACAGTGCACTGCAGAGACACTGGCAAGAGCAGTGGAACAACAATCATTTAGCAAGGGAGGGACGTGTGGTGGAAAGAGAGAGGACAGTTATATTTTGTTTTAGTGTAAACATCCAGCATGCAGTTCCTGCTGGGCAGGACCGCTTGACTTGGTTTGTACCCAAGTGCAAATTTGTTGTAAATATAGCTATATTTGCTGTGATCCAAATGTGGGAAAAAGTGTTTGTTCTGTTGTGTTTTATGGCTCGTTGAATTGAGGCCAGAGCAAGAAACACGGTGGGAACTTTTGGAGTTCTTTCGCTCGTCTGAATCCTGACTGAAAAGCCTAACCACGGTAGTCAGACAGGCCTGATGTCATCAAAAGTGGAGCAACACAATAAGAGCGAAACCTTGGTCAGCTATTTTTGCAACAGTTCTGCTATATGTGTTTATCTGTTCTATTTCTGCATCCTGACGAGCCACACAGGCTGCTCAAAGTGAAATCAACAGAGCCCACATGTCCTACTTCCACAGCATTCACTAGGGCCATCTAGTGGTTCCTTCTGCATGATGTGAGTGATAAAAAGTATTATTAGCAAAAGTATGTGACTAATACAAATGACATTAATGGATCCTTCATGAATCCTTGTCTCAGTAGCATTTTGCTGTCATAGCTGCTTGAGGTCATGATGCAGGTATGACATGCAGGTAGTTCCTAACCTACAGGTCAGATGTTGTGACGGTTTAGCTGAGGTATTTTAGGTTTTTCTTTTTAAGTATGTAAA